AAAAAAAAAAAAAAAAAAAAAAAAAACTTAATTTTGCTGCTAATATGCTGGAGGGGAATTTCATTATTTGGAACTGACAATAAAGCTAAAGAAAAATGCACTTCAGTTGAGGATAATAGTGTTCCTATCATGACCTGAGGTGCTCAAAATTTGGCATGCAAGTTGTTTAACTTACTTGTATACTCGGCCAACATTTGGGATGACAAGGCAACTGTTCTTACTGATCAGATAATCCATTCAAACCTCTAAAAAAAGTAAAGTACAATTACCTGATTCTTTTACTGAAACCTCGTAAGCAACTGCAACCGAAACACTCAACCCCAGACTGCTTGCTATTTCTATAACATTTTGCTGAGCCCCAGGGGGATCCACTACCCAGGAAAGAAAAGGAGGAGAGATATAGATAAGTATTAACCACCATCAGATCAATCCACCATTCGAAATTAAGCATAATAAAAAATTTGAAACTTATTCAGACTTTGAGATATCTTACTTGCACCCATGTTGGTAATTATGCAAATATTTCTTTTCACAGCCAAAGGAAGAAGCAATTTCATCCAATCTGCAACTACAGAGTAATTCAAATAATAGTCAAGAACAAAACAATGAACAGCTCGCAAAAACTGACTTAACGTCAAAGGTACTAATGGAGATAAATTTTGAGAAAACGTAAATGGAGATTGAGTTCAATAAATGATCATGAAGAAACCTCGTAGGAAAAATTCTCGTATATTTCAATTTATTACTTCTCTTTTGCTCGACCCATTATAGTTTGCAGAATCTGTTAATGATAGTTTTCAGGGTAATTAGCTTAAAAAACAACAAAACTCAGCCAGTATTATACAAGACCAACTAACTTCTTGGTAACTGGTTCATATCATCAGATCCAGCAATTGAATGAGATGAGAGCATGTCTTAAAATCAGTGTATGAAATGCCATCACCGTTTGCATCATTTCAAAATACTTTGATTCAGAGCAATCTTTGAACTGGATACCAGGGCAAAATGAGGTGTCAGGTTGCAATCTGGACGTCGCATGGACTAACAATATTGTTGTGCAAAACAGAACAATTTTCTACTAAATTCACTGTTTGCAAATGTAATAGATAGATATGAGCTTCAATATTTTTAGTAATACTAATATACTACCAACGAATCTAAGGAACCATTACCAGCTTCTTAACAAAAAACTACCATCCTAACAATATTAGGAACTTTCAAGAAATTTTGAATATGAGAAAGGAATGATGAAAAAAATTGCAAGCTAAAAATTATTATTATCCATCGACATACTCCTTGAATCATATCCATCGCCACCAGACGACATAGCTTGATGCCGATCAGCAAGAGTGCGTTCCGCTAGGCATTCAAGCACGAGATAGTTTAGGTCTTTAACCCTCTGAAGCAATTTAAGAGCTGCAGTTGGCCTATCTCCTCCAAATCCAGCTCCACAGCCAATGTACACCTTGTCTCTCCGTTTTTTAGGATTTACTCTCTGTCATTGAACACCAATACCTTAGATCTAACAATTCTTTCATCGACTTGTTTACAAAAATTAAATAAGAAATTAAGAACTGAAATAAGAAAGAACCAGCTTAATTGTGCAGTCATGGACGTCATCTTCACCCTGCCTCTCCATTAGCATCTGGTAACACAAGATGAAAGTGATTCTTAATTTCATTCTAGGTGAAGACTTATGAGATACGTGAGATAAGTAGTCTGAAGAAGTCAAAGGAGACTTCAAGACGTTCGATACCAATTTGGATAAGGACCACCCCTGGTTCATTTCTTGTATAAACTCACAAGTATTCAATCCCTAAACAGCGGCTTGCATAGGTTTCGTTTGTCAAAAGATTATATAAAATAATAATATTTATTTTAAAAAAATTCTTGCATGTTAAGCAGCCATGCCATTTTGTCATTCTCTCGACTTAAATAACAGTCTCTGACGTCTAGTCCGTTTTTTCTTTCATGAAGATTTATCCTCAAGTGCCAACTTGAGCATAGCTCAACTAATTAACACATTATATATCAATGAATCAAAAGTTCAAACCCCCATACTTACATATTGTTGAGTTTGAACTCAAAAGATTCATCCTCAAATTAAAATACCATATTCCGGCAATTTTCTATAGTTAACTATTGATTGTTCTGTTAGGAACCATGACCCTCCACAATGGTATGATATCGTATGATATCGTCCACTTTGAACACAAGCTCTTATGGCTTTGCTTTTGGTTTCCCCAAAAGGATTCATTCCAATGGAGATAGTGTTCCTTGCCTATGAACTCATGATTTTCCTCTTAATTAGCTAAGGTGGGACTATTCCTCTCAATAATCCTCAACATTCTTCCCCTCGAACAAAGTACACCATAGAGCCTCCCCTGAGGCCTCTTTCTCTAGAGCTCTCAAACAACTTCCCCTTAATCAATGCTCAACTCCTTCTCTTGAGCCCTCGAACAAAATACACCATTTGTTCGACACATGAGTCACCTTTGACTACACATTCGAGGCTCACATCTTCTTTGTTCAACCTTTTAGAATTCTATTAGCATGACTAAGTTAAGAGCATGGCTCTGATACCATGTTAGGAACCACAACCCTCCACAATGGTATGATATTGTCCACTTTGAGACAGGCTCTCATAGCTTTACTTTTGGTTTCTCCAAAAGGCCTCAAGAATGGAGATAGTGTTCCTTACTTATAAACTCATGATCTTCCTCTTAATTAGCCAATATGAGACTATTCCTCTCAATAATCCTCAACATGTTCATAATAAGAAAAACCCTTTGGAAAGAGCTTACTGAGACAGAGTCTATTAAACCAATCATCTCCAAGTATCCAATTGTGCTACCAATCCCAACTAAAGAATAGAGTTTTCTACAACCAGATTTCATATGGAAATCGCCACCAAGAGGTTTGCATACACATAAAAGAAGTATCCAACCAAACACAGAAGAAACACACAGAAAAAGAAACAAGTAGAAACTCTAAAGCGCACAGGCCTGAAATCCCAGTAAACAAATCCAAGAAAAATACACCACCAAATCAACACAAACCGCAATTAACCCATCAAATGACTTAACACCAGAAATCACAACCAACATAACAATCAGTTAAACGAGATGAAAAGGCCTTTAAATAATTTCGAAGTTGCAGACCCCTACGGCACAGGTAGACAGCACCATGATCAATGTTCAAACCGAAATTAAGATTGTGAAGCTAAGCTAACGGCGCATGGTTTAAAAATCAAGACCATACACCAAAATACATGCGCGCATAAAAATCAAGAAGTGCATCAACAAGATGAAACATGAACCGCGTACCTATCAAATCCTGCCTTCGGGAAGAATTATTTGCCGCGAATGAGAATTTGATCGCGCAGTACCCCTTCACTTAGAATGGAAGATGATTAATTTTGGATAAATGTCGCTTTCTAAAAATCAGACAAGTCAAAAAAGCCTGAATACTTAATTTTGTCAAAATAGCCTTCTTGTTTCCAAAAATGCCCTTCATTAGCAAAATTGGAGAGATTCCACATTTTTTTTAATTTGATCCCAATTTTTTAAAATAATTATTCTAAATTTTTTTTTTTTTTTTTGGAATTTTAAAGATTTTTCCTGTTTTAAAATTTTCAAAATATTGATCGGAACATTTTTCTCGATCAAAACACGGTTAAATAACAAAATTTTAAGCTTGAAAGGTGTCCTCTCATCTGCATAATGGGTTACCGACGATTCGAAGGTCGAAAAAAGAAAAATCATGAAATTGAGAGAGAGACGAGAGAGAGAGAGCGGCTTATTTCAAAATCAGGTCAAATGGAATATTAGTTTTATGTTTTTAAGACCAAACATACAAATTTCTCAGTGAGATATTTAAATTTTTTTAGGTCGAATCACTCAAATTATATCGGTGAATAAAATTTCTTTCTATTTTATGTTGTTTTATCTTGGTATATTATAATTTTTTTTCTTTGGCATGTATTAATTCTTGTAACAAATGATGTAAGGACGACAATTTTTTTAATTATATTTATATATAAATAACTCGTACAACCCTTAAATTTGTTCTTACGGTCTCTCGGTCGAAAGTTTCAAAATCAAAATATAACAAATTTAGGTACAAAAAACGAATATCTCGAAGGTTGAAAGACGAACGGAAAGAACAAATGCAAAAGTTTAGAGACCTAAACGAGATTTAAACGAACGAATTATACTCGTGAGTAAATGATGACAATTACCCTAAATGAAAAGGGTATTTATCAAACATTAGATTAGGGCTATTTTTCAAAACCAGAGTTACTTTGACAAATTCCATTTGTTAAAAGACCATTTAAACCATTAACCCCGCAGAACTCCCAAGGACTGATCGCAGGTCGCCGAGGTTTTTCTACTTCCTCCCGGCAGCTGCTCAGTGAACGCAGCCATGGTGACGTCGCCGGTGGTGAACACCTATCCACTTTCCAGCTACACCTTCGGTACTAAAGAGCCGAAGCTCGAGAAGGACACCTCCGTCGCCGATCGTCTTGCTCGCATGAAAGTCAAGTACTGCTAATTTACTCGATTTCTTAAACCCTAACTTTATGGTTTTTCAACGTTTTAGAGTTGTACTTTCTCGAAAGTTACGAACTCTGGCCGTTTCTTAGTGTGGATTCCTGGTCATTTTACATTTCATGTGTTTAGCTTTACTAGAAACCATTTGATGTGTTTCTAATTTCAAGAAATGCGCGAGCTTGGACTAGAGTTCTGGATGAAATTGTGTTATTGATTTTATTCAAGCCACTTGTTCGTTGATAAACTCAGTGCTTTCTTATTGCTATTTGTTTCGTTGTTTCGTCATCGCCTGGAAATTTTGTCTTCCATTTATTGGTTTTGGAGGGGCATTGACGGGAATGAGTAACTTGTACTGGTTCTTGGTTCACAGCTACATGAAGGAAGGCATGAGGACGAGTGTTGAAGCAATTCTGCTGGTTAGTGCGCATCTTCATCATATTTCATCTCAATGTACTCATGCCCTTACTTATTGTTATTATTTTTCTAAAAAAATTAAGTTTAAGGAGATCATTAAGATATAGGTGTACTAATTGGATGCCATGGTTTGTGTTTTTTAGTTGATATTGAAATTCATTGAACTGTGAATCACTCAAATGTTTTATAACGAATTATAATATTTAAAAGTCACAAAAATATTTATCGTCTTACATATCTACATTCTTCATCTAGAATATTTGCGTATATGTATGCTATTAGAAGGGAAGTTTCGTTGCTGAATCCTTTATTGTCCTATCTGATCTTTACCCGAGCAGCACGCGTTGGAAGACAAGATGACTAAATTTGAACTTCCATCATTGTCATCTTTTAGGTTATACCCGCCTATGGTTTCCTCCAGCTAGAAAATGTAACATGGGATCTCCCCTCCTATGACTGCTTCCAACTGGAAAATTTTCCCATAATCCTTCGAAGCCCATGTGCATTTTGATGCTCAACAAACATGTTGGTTCTTATATGTATGTACTGATTACATTTGATGTGTAATATATTCATTAATCTGTTTTTTGGTTGCATAGCTGAAGTAGATATTTTAGTACCTCTGTAACTGACATTTATGTATTTTGCAAAACAGCTCCAAAATAACCAAAATATTTTAGGATTTAAGCCAAGGCAAGTTGGATTTGAAATACAGAATGTGACCCAAATGTAAAAACAAGTTCACTGAAGTTGATGCTTTAGGAATTTCCTACCAGACAATAACAATTTATTTACGACATTTGTGGATGAGATGAAAGTTCAACTGCATGTACTTGGGAGAGCCAGTAGGATTTCAGTTCATCGCATTGTGCTTCCCAACCTACATATAGTCTAAGTAGCATTCTACTAGTATGATAGTGACAATAGCTGAGTACATCCTTTGTTAAGTTGGCCAGCTTGAAGACCGACGAGGATCTTGGCTCTTTATTCTAGAGGTGAAGGAATCGACTTTCTCCTTAATGGTCTTGATTAAGGTCCCATTTAGGAAATTAGGGAGGCAATAATACTGCAACCAGGAGAGGTAATAATACTGCCGGAAGTCTCAGACGTATATCTCCAAGTTCATTTAGGAAATTAATAATTACTGTGCTGAAAATAGGAAGGGAATCCTATGAAGTCTTGGAAGATCTTTAGCCACAAAAAGGAGGATGGTTACTTGCTTTCACAAATTTGGGGAAAAAGATCAACAACCAATATTTGTTGAAATGCGAGGGTTTCTAGAAGCTTGATTTTTAGAGAAACCTGTTGGATGTTGAAATACAGGGGCAGCCTAATGCTTCAAATTTTGATAAGAAAAAGAGCATGAAACCAATGGGAGACCAAAAACAGGGGGATAAGCCGTCCAACCCCGAAGCTAAAGGGGTTTACAGAATAGGACCTCAATTATACAAGGCATACTATAATTACAAAAAGCAACGTGCGAATTGAAACAAATACTTTATTGAGTTCTTTTTACGTTGCTTTTTGTTTTACTCCTTTATGGAGTTTGTATCATTTGAGCAATAGTATATTTTCATTACATCAATGAAACGTTTTGTTTCTTGTTCAAAAAATTACAAAAACAATGTTTTTTGGGCACACAAAGAGGAAGCTGATTGGAATGCAGGATCCTTGCACCCCTTAGATTTGTTTCTGAAGATTCTATAGTTCATTTCGGCTTATGGTTCGAACAACAGCTTTGATAGAATTAAACAAGGGAGTTCTAGTTTTCTGCCATTTTAAGTTTGGCACTGAATGTTTCCTTAATTCATTAACTTTCTCTTTAGTTGGTGTATTTTAGTGACTAATATTTAAGAGAACCATGTACTTTACCGTGATGGAATTTTATATTTTTCATTTTTTCTTTTCACTTCCACAGGTGCAAGAACATAAGCATCCCCATATTCTACTTCTGCAAATTGGAAATACCTTTTGCAAGCTCCCTGGTGGCCGGTTGAAGCCAGGAGAAAATGGTAAGTTTTTATATACAATTGAAGCCCCCCACATCCGATTGAGTAAATTATCTCTCTCATGTTCCTTAACATCCGCAGAAATTGAAGGTTTAAAGAGGAAACTGACGAGCAAACTCGGTGCAAATTCACCTGCCCTCCAGCCTGATTGGCAGGTTTGGGTCATCTCTTGCTGTGTGCAAATCCATTCGCAGAAGTTTTATTTGTTTCTGCCCAAAGTTATATTATTCATTGCACATTTTCTGCAGATTGGTGAATGTGTGGCTATTTGGTGGAGACCAAACTTTGAAACTGTTATGTATCCTTATTGCCCCCCTCATATAACGAAACCAAAGGTATGATCTCTCTCTCTCTCTCTCTCTCTCTCTCTCTCTCTCTCTCTCTCATGTTCCCCAGCCGCCAGTAGTGTTGATAGCACTTTTTTGGTGGTGACTTTGATAGGGAAGAATGTAGGCTATCAGTTATCTATCTATATGCATGTATGTATGTGTCTCTGTATACTATACAGATTATTGATTACTCAAGCTGATTGGATAGCCTCTTTACCCCGGAAAGGCCCTTATAACAGCCCAAGCCCACCGCTAGCAGATATTGTCCTTTTTGGACTTTCCCTTTCGAGTTTTTATAACGTGTCTGCTAGGGAGAGGTTTCCACACCCTTATAAAGAATGCTTCATTCCTCTCTCCAATCGACGTGGAATCTCACAATTCACCGCCCTTCAGAGCCCAGGATTCTTGCTGGTACATGTTCATCTCTCAAATCAATGTGGGATCTCACAATCCACTCCCCCTTCGGGGTCCAGCGTCCTCGCTGGCACACCGGTGTCTGGCTCTAATACCATTTGTAACAGCCCAAGCCCATTGCTAGTAGATATTGTCCTCTTTGGGCTTTTTCTTTCGAGTTTTTGTAACGTGTCTCCTAGAGAGAGGTTTGCACACCCTTATAAAGAATACTTCGTTCTGGGGTCTCACAATGGTCCACCATTTTCTTCTTACTTTGATTGGCATTATAAAGAGAGTTGAAATTATTTTTAGGAACCTTTTTTTCCCATATGGAAAATGAGAAGAAGAAAAAAAAATCCTAATTAGGGTTTTTGATGATTCAGGAATGCAAAAAGCTTTTCATTGTTCACTTGTCTGAGAGAGAGTACTTCGCAGTTCCTAAAAATTTGAAGCTGCTTGCAGTTCCTTTGTTTGAACTCTATGACAATGTTCAGGTAAGTTGCATTTTTCTTTGTAGATCCTCATAAGTAGGAAAAAAAAAAGTTTATTATCATGCATATTCTTAAGCGATTTTTGGCATGTCGGGCAATATCGAAAACCTGCTTAATTAAAGCAATTAGTATGTGGTGGTGGTGGTTATCAAGGGATAGATGAATTAAGATAGATCTTCTGGATGCTGGATGATATTGATAGTACATGTAAATCCATTAGTCTCAAAATACCATGCTGTTTATTAGCTAAATACTAGTTTTCGGATATCGCACTTGATCACAGAGATACGGACCTGTTATATCGACGATCCCGCAGCAGCTTTCCAGGTTTCAGTTCAACATGATCACCACATGAGCTTGCAAGACAAGAACATAAAATTTGTGGCATGAACAGACTCCAAATTTGCAGCAGTGAGATATTCTCCTTAGCTTAGTTAGAACTTAAGAGGACATCATGAAACCTTTCTTGAGTTAGGATAGCATACTTATTATAGACTTTTGTTCTCGACATTTTCGTCGAAGTGTTTATGAGCTAGAACCCGAAAAATTTATATTACTTCTAACGATAGCAGAAAAATGAAAACAGACTGACGGTTTGTGTAACGATTTAACTTGATAAAAGTCTTAGATGAGTGTAATTTATGTCTGTTGAATCAATAGTAACAGTGGTCAAGTTGTGGAAACTCAGATTTTCTGGCCTTAGCTCTCTGTTTCTCAATTGAGTTATTTGTTAGATTTCTGTGTAGTCTTTCCTTCCTATGATAGGATTTCCTGTTTCTTCTAGGGCTCTGCTCACTCGTCTACGCTTTGATAAGAAAGAATCTTTCGTTGTGTAAGGTTGGCCCGGAGAGAGAGTGGGTGCGACTCCCCCTCTCCCCGTTCAAATCAGTTCTTGCATCGACCCCCTTAAAGAGGGCATGAAGAGTTCGCCAATAATACTTGCTACTCCTACTTTCTCTCGACCAAAAACAGAAAACGTAGGGCATGAAAAGGTTGCCAATAGTACCTGCTACTCCTACTTTCTCTTGACTAGAAACGGACAATGTAAAGAAATTTAATAGGTAATTCAGGACTAGAGACGGACAATGTAAAGGGATTGCAATTACATAAGCTGAAACTTCCACATCCAAATTAATAGATAACATATGAGTCCAATGAAATAATTAAAAATTTATGGGTACAATTATAAATATCTCATAAATTAAGGGTGATTTTTGAAATTTTTCCAAAAAAAAAAAAGAAAAATAATTTACTGTTAGTCGTGTTAGTGTCATTTAAAAACAATATAAATGTATGAGAATGAAAGAATGGTAAACTTCATAAGTTTTTTAGTGTGAATGAAGGGAGTAGATAACGACCGAACAATAAAAAATTTCTCAAGACCCACGAACTCGTCATAATCCAAAGTGACCCCACTAACTCTCAAAAATTGCACAAAAGCCCCAATTTCTTGTATGCCGACCAAATACTAAAAAATTTCTCTCGACCCACCAAACTTGTCATAATTCCAAAATGACCCATTAACTCTTACAAATTGCACAAAAACCCCCCATTTGTTGTATACCGACCAAAAACTAAAAAATTTCTCTCAGCTCATTGAACTTGTCATAATTCCAAATGAACCATTAACTTGAAAAAAGTGTACAAATGTCCCGATTTCTTGTATATAGACCAAGACTAAAAAATTTCTTTCGACCCATCGAACTCTTTGTAGCTTCAAAATGACCCACTAACTCTCAAAACTTGCACAAAAGCCCTAATTTCTTGTATACCGACCAAATACTAAAAAGTTTCTCTCGACCCACCAGACTTGTCATAATTCCAAAATGGCCTACTAACTCTTACAAATTGCACAAAACCCCCCATTTGTTGTATACGGACCAAAAACTAAAAAATTTATCTCGACTCACTAAACTAGTCGTAATTCTAAAATGACCCACTAACTCGAAAAAAGTGCACAAAAACCCCGATTTCTTGTGTACCGACCAAAGACTAAAAAATTTCTTTCGACCCATCGAACTCTCACAAATTGCACATAAGTCCCCAATTTCTTGTGGTTTAGAAGGGAAAAAAAAAGCTAGACACGATAGATGGAATGTGGATTATGAATCCAGGTGGACCCCATTTTAGGGGTAAAGTAATCCGCATTTGTGATGACCTGTTCATCTTTGACAATTATCCATAAAAGTTGATCACCAAAAGCCTCTTTGATAGCGCGTGAAGTACACGAACCAATCACTGTTCACCACCAACTCACCGTCCCGCTTGAAATCACGCGCTTTCATTCCCTCACATGGCGTTTCTTTCACATGGCTTCAGCCATAACCGAAAAGCACAGAAATGCATTTTCACGGCCAGTTTCAGTCTAAAAGAAAATCGCATTTGTTTCTCTCTGAGCTTCTTGCAGATTCTTGAGTAAAACCCAAATCCATTCTTCTGAGGTATTCTTCTTCATGTTGATTTTCTGTTTGCTTGCTGAGAAAATTCCTGCTACTTTTCTTTCCTGTTCTTATAATCAGCGTCCTGTTTGATACCGAGCAAAGAGGTTGTTCTTGAGTAAACGTGCGGTTTAGGGGTTGAGATTCGAGATATTGATAACTCTGTTTGTTTATTAATATCATTTTCTTGTTGTCTCTACTTGGACTGAGTATTTACACAGATTTTGTTGAAGAAAGTTATGATTGATGCTTGCCTCGCTTGCCTCTCTTGTGTCTTGTTCTTTTAGGAGCGTTTTTTACTTGGAAAATGGAGCTCATTGCCGTTTTGCTCTGTATTATGAACGAAGAACATTGAAATTTAGAATTGTAGGGAGCGTGCATGAATGGCGTTGAATTGCAATACTTTAGAGCTTGCATGAAAGCTGAACAAATGAGCGAGGAAAATGGCAGTAACAATTGGGAAAAAAAAAATGGAAAATATTATTGCTGTTGAACTACCACTAAGTTCATAACGATTGTGTGGATAGATTGTTGTATATTCAATCCTCTGAATACTTGATGTTCTTCCTTACTTAAGGGATTCAAAATTAGCACGAGATTTAATAACTGATTATCAAGAAATAACTTCGCAAACATTCGAATCTAAACTTAAACATATTTGATTTTGTATATGTATTCGTAATGTTTATCGGTGTAGTAAAATTGGATTGAATTTCCTATCAGCCACTCGATGGAACAAGATATTTCATTGCATTTCTTTTCAAAGCTTATGAAGATTTACCTCTTTCTTTCTCATTTTTGTTAAATTGGTCTACTTTTTGTTCTTAGGACAGGGTAATAATGAACAATGCTTTCTAATGGTATTTGCAAGTGGACTCTTGGATGTACTTGAAGTAGCATTTTGAATATTCATTGAAGATGACAACACTATCTTTAGCATCCGGAAACGTTGGAAACAGAGAATGCTGCTTGGAATTTCCTAGTTTGTATTTTACGGAAGGTCCTTTGGGTAGCAAACTCCTTAGAAGAGCATATACAAGAAGGTATGGATTTTGGTTGGATGATCCAAAAGTTCCTCGGATTAAAAGCAGGAACAGGTTTTGTGTGACTGCAAAGGTTAAAAAGTGGAGGAAGCACGATTATCCTTGGCCGGATGATATTGATCCAAACATTCAAAGTGGCCACTTGACTTATCTGTCTTCCTTCAAGCCTCTGGCTGAGAAACCGAAGCCTGTCACACTTCCATTTGAGAAGCCTTTGGTTGATTTAGAGAAAAAGATTATTGAGGCAAGTCTTCTATGAGTTTAATAAAGAAAATCAGGAAGTCTTTTGTACATTATTTTCATGAGTTTCAAATTTTGTAGTAATGTTTGTCTCAAGGAAGGAACTTATGTATCTTAGCAAAAGGCCATATAAAATCGCATGGTCCTTAACGTTGAAGATTGTTGAGAGAGAGTCCCGCCTATTGATTCGAAGTCATTACGAAAGGGTCGAAGACGCGAGAAGAGTTCCATCAATAGCACCTAACCTATGCCGATTTTGGCGGACCGTGCTCCAGGAAATTAATAAAAAAAAAAATCGAAAGAAATAGATAATTAGTTTGGGCTAGCTCGACTCCACCCCAAGGCAAGGGCTCAGGCACCCTCTTTCCTTTTCCTGATTGAACGGTAAAGTGGCTTCGCTACTTCTCTTTCTCTTCGGGCAAAGTGACATAGATAATCATAGCAGCTCATCTTTACAGCCCACAAAACCTCTTACCCGGAATAGGAAAGAAAGAGGCTTTCCAACCATCCTATATTTTTTCAAGGGGGAATTTGATAAGGCTGCAGGGTGAGTGAGGAAAAAACTTATTAAGTCTTGCATCTGACTAATTTAGAGAATGATCATAGGTTTATAAGTAAGGAATACTATCTCTAATGATATGAGGCTTTTTGGAGAATTCCAAAGCAAAGTCGCAAGAGCTTATGCTCAAAGTAGATAGTATCATACTATTGTGGACATCTATGATTCCTACCACTTAATACCACTTAATACATGAGCTCTCTCTCTTTCAGGTCCGTAATTTGGCTGATGAAACCGGTTTAGATTTCAGTGATCAAATTAGCACTCTTGAGAACAAGTACCAGATGGTATGTTGAGTTTTACTGCCTGCCCTGTTATCCTGATATTGTAATCTTTCTGTATTAAGTACTTCTTCTGCTCTCTGTTTCAAGTCCAGGCTCTTAAAGATTTGTACGCACATTTAACACCAATTCAGCGATTATCAATTGCACGACATCCCAATAGACCGACAGTTCTTGATCATATATTGAACATCACAGAAAAGGTTCCCCACTATACCTTTTACATCTTAATTACATCAATTGATTGTTAACTTTTTTTCTTTTTGTTTCAATCAGTGGGTAGAACTCCATGGAGATCGTGGGGGTTATGATGATCCAGCAATTGTTACTGGCATTGGGAGCATTGAAGGTAAAAGCTACATGTGTATAGGACATCAGAAAGGTAGGAATACCAAAGAGAACATTGCTCGCAACTTCGCAATGCCAACACCTCATGGGTAAGCTTGAAGTGTCTCTAAAATTAAACCAACAATTAGGAAGATTGGATCGAGTACAAAAGGAAATATCTTGACTAGTGTCTGTCAACATTAGAGTCTAATATTCTTCTCCGATATACTTTAAGGATACTTTGATAAAACCAACAAGAACATAGCTCAATTGATAAAAACGTGTGCTTTTGACCAAGAGGCAAAGTTTGAATGTCCGCTCCACATTGTTGTTTGGAACCTAAATTATAGTGAGGGGAAAACCTTTAGTGGAAAGGCTCTCAAGTCAATAAGAGCAATTTTTGTTTTGCTTGGTAAATATATGATTTACTAACCAAAACCATTGTTCGAAAAAACAGCTACCGGAAGGCTTTACGGTTGATGAAATATGCCGATCATCATAGTTTGCCTATTCTTACTTTTGTTGACACTCCTGGGGCATTTGCTGATCTAAAATCTGAGGAACTTGGTCAAGTGGGTGACATTTTTCATCTCAACATGGAAACTAGACTTTGTTGGAGTGGTTTGATACATGGTCTTGGCTTAACGATTTTCTGATTTTTGCAGGGTGAGGCGATAGCCCATAATCTGAGGACAATGTTTGGTCTAAAGGTGCCCATTATAACAGTGGTAACTGGTGAAGGTGGTTCAGGAGGGGCTCTTGCTATTGCTTGTTCAAATAAAATGTTCATGATGGAGAATTCTGCTTTCTATGTTGCAAGGTTCAATTTTTTTTTTTTTCTTATACGAAAAAAAGAAAAACATTCTTGCTTAGTTGCTCAGGGACTTGTTGAAAAACTGCTTTAGAAAGTTATAATTTAGGTCTCATGTCTTCATTTAACACTGCATTCAAGCAAAACCTTCAGCAGTTTATCAATAATGGATTAACACTTAACAGAACCGAAAAATATTTTATTTTCCTACAATATGTGTTGATCCTATAATAGATTTACTTTTTGTACCTTTCTCCCTGATCAGTCCTGAAGCCTGTGCTGCAATCTTATGGAAATCCTCCCAAGCAGCTCCTAAGGTATTTGATTGGTTTGATTATTGTACGTATTTGAGAACAAGACCGGCTTTGTTGAACTCTTAAAGTTTCTTATTGTAGGCTGCTGAGAAATTGAGAATCACAGCTCAAGAACATTATAGGCTTAAGATTGCTGATGGAGTCATCCCTGTAAGTACTTGTCTCTGTGATGAACCATGTGCTCTGAGTGCTTATAGAAATGGAAGCATTTTTACCCCTTAATCATCTCTCATTCAAAAGCCACGCCTTTTTGTTGCATGGCATCACTTCATTTCCAGTTTATAATTAAACAAAAAGAAAGAAGAGAAAATGACTTTGTTGCCCCATTGCAACTTGCTCCGAGCTTAGGTGGTTTCTTGTGTTGAGGATTGTTGGGAGAGGAGTCCCACGTCGACTAATTAAGGAATTGAACATGAGTTTATAAGTAAGGAATACATCTCCATTGGTATGAGGTCTTTTGGAGAAATCGAAAACAAAACCATGAGAGCTTATGCTCAAAATAGACAATATCATACCATTGTAGAGGTTCGTGGTTCCTAACATTTTCAATGTCAGTTACCCTTTGTCCTTCGCGAGGTGCAGAAGTAAAACAAGAGCACTTGATAATTGTCATAAAGTAAAGAAAACGTTCAATTTTCTTATGATTCAGCTGTGCCTATGGCTTCTCCTGCACATTGCTTATGTTATGTTAATAATTACTACTCACAGGAGCCTCTTGGTGGTGCACATGCTGATCCTGTATGGGCCTCCCAACAAGTTAAGTCTGCAATAATCCAGGCAATGAAGGCAAGTATCTTTCACACCATTGCATTTTGAAATCCCATAAACTATAATATTCATCTCACGTTAAAATATCATCACTAGTCCAATAAAATCAAACTTAATAGTCGTATGAGCCAATTATCTATATATTGTAAGAATATTATTTAGGTATTTTAAGAATAAATGGTTAGATATCTTAAGAATAAATTGTCTAGCCTCTACTGTAAATACTCTTCCATCCTACCAATGTTTTTATCCCAAAAAAATACAGAGCAAAATGTAGTAGTATTCTACGAATTGTTTTGTAATCTATTCTCGATTGGTCTTAATAAAGAGTATTTCGCACAAAGAGTTGGGTTCATCGTGCCATTGTTATGAAAAAAAAAAAAAAAAAAAAAAAAAAAAAAAAAAAAAAAAAAAAAAAAAA